TCTCGCTCTCATTTGCGTATGTTAGCCACCAAATATGCTAGTCGCTTGCTGCAGCTCCACCTCATACCTTTTACCCTACCTATAAGCTTAAATAGTCTTGATCGCGAGGGTGTGAGATTGTTGAGTCCCCGTGACTCACAGATACTTCCAAAACCAGCTTGCAGGTGCCGAGGATACCGTGCAAGTGACACAACCAAGCTCAAGGAGGAGCTCGATGAAGATCTTGTTCATTGTGTTGTTTCGTTCTAGTCGATCAGTAGTGGAGCCCAGTTGGGGTCGATCGGGGATCTGTGTAGCTTTTGGGGTAGTCTTCTTTTATTTTGGTTCCGTAGTCGGACCTTGATTGTATCTGGATGATGTAATGCTTTATCCATATATTGTGTGAAGTGGCGATTGTAAGCCAACTATGTATCTCCTTCCCTTATGTATTACATGGGTTGTTGCGAAGATTACCTCACTTGCGACATTGCTTTCAATGCGGTTATGTCTCTAAGTCTTGCTTCGACACGTGGGAGATATAGCCGCATCGAGGGCGTTAGACACACAAGTTGATCATTGATCTTTTAGCCGTGTGCGGTGCCCCCCTCCACCATAATCCACCTCGGTTATATCATAGCGGTGCTTAGGCGAAGCGCTGTTCCGGTAGCATCATCATCACCGTCATCACGCCATCGTGCTGACGAAACTCTCCCTGAAGCTCTACTGGATCGTGAGTTCGCGGGGTGTCACCGAGCTAAACGTGTGTAGATCACGGAGGTGTCGTACGTTTAGTACAAGGATCGGTCGATCGTGAAGACGTACGACTACATCAACCGCGTTGTCACAACGCTTCCGCTTACGCTCTACGAGGGTACGTGAACGACACTCTTCCCTCTCGTTGCTATGCATCACCATAATCTTGTGTGTGCGTAGGATTTTTTTAAATTACTACGTTCCCCGACAAAAACAGCCACCATACCTACCTATTATGGCATTTCCATAGCCATTCCGAGATATATTTCCATGCAACTTTCCACCGTTTCGTTATTATGACACACTTTATCATTGTCATATTGCTTTGCATGATCATGTAGCTGACATCATATTTGTGGCAAAGCCATGTTCATAATTATTTCATACATGTCACTCTTGATTCATTGCATATCCCGGTACAGCTCCGGAGGCATTCACATAGAGTCATATTTTGTTCTAAGTATTAAGTTGTAAGTAAATAAAAGTGTGATGATCATCATTATTAGAGCATTGTCCCAAGTGATGAAAGGATGATGGAGACTATGATTCCCCCACAAGTCGGGATGAGACTGCAGACCAAAAGAAAAAAGAAAGAAAGAAAAGAGGCCATAAAGAAGAAGAATAAGAAGACCCAAATAAAAAATAAAAAAATGAGAGAAAAAGAGAGAAGGGACAATGTTACTATCCTTTTTACACACGTGTGCTTCAAAGTAGCACCATTATCTTCATGATAGAGAGTCTCCTATGATAGCCAGTTACGTTGTGACGTTTGATAGCACACTAAGTGTTCCTCCGGTATTCAGGAGTTGCATAATCTCATAGTCATAGGAACATGTATAAGTCATGAAGAAAGCAATAGTAATAAACTAAACGATCAGAGTGCTAAGCTAACGAATGGGTCTAGTCCATCACATCATTTTCTAATGATGTAATCCCGTTCATCAAATGACAACACATGTCCATGGCTAGGAAACTTAACCATCTTTGATTAACGAGCTAGTCAAGCAGAGGCATACTAGGGACACTCTGTTTGTCTATGTATTCACACATGTACTAAGTTTCCAGTTAATACAATTTTAGCATGAATAATAAACATTTATCATGATATAAGGAAATATAAATAACAACTTTATTATTGCCTCTAGGGCATATTTCCTTCAAGGGTCGCACATGATGGCGCGGCAAGCAAATGTCCTCCACATGGACATGCATTTTCCGTCCAAGGAGGTGAAGAAGGAGGAGAGGTAAAAGATCTTCTTAGATGTGCAAAGAGAGAAGATGGAGTTTGACCGGGAAATGTTGAACAATTAGAAAGAGAAAATAGAATTGGAGAAGAGAAGTATGCAAATTGGGAGGTTGAAAAGGCGACGACATTGTAAGGAGTTGTGTGTGTGTGTGAGAGAGAGAGAGAGAGAAGGATGAATTGGGGATCATGTTGCAGGACACTAACATCTTTGATGATGAAGGCAATAAGTGGTTGATCGGCATGAAGAGGAGGATCAATGAGCGCAACAACGGATGTGTTTGATTCATTCTTATATTTTACTAGCAAATATGCCCGTGCGTTGCAACCGGAGACAAAAAATTATGGCTAACCAAATAAATATGACTCAATATCCCGACACATGAGCGTACTCTATTTTAACACAGTGGATCACCATGTTCCTATTTTTTTCTCACCCTAGCCGATGATCGCGATGTCCACGTGATCATAATGCATTCGATGCAGTAAATCACAAGACTATGAGTTTGCCAGTGCATGTCACATTTGTCATTATGTTGCGCAAGGAAACATTTAAAACTTTAAAAACAAATCTCATTGACTACGAACTACTCCCAACGCCAAGACATATAAAGACTTTCAAAAAACTAATCGAATCCTAAACATAAAATACTTTTGAATCAGTGAACAGTTTTTCGAATCGACAAACATGTTTTTTTGAAACTTTTTATTTTCTAAAAAAAATAATGAGCTTTAGTTTTGTTTACAAACTTTTTTAAATGTATGAAACGGTTTCAAATTCATTAATATTTTTGACTCAACAAACATTTTTTGAATCGATGATATTTTTTAAAAAAATTGGGGAACAAATTGTTAAAATAATTTTTTTTGTGAACATTTTCTAAAATGTCATGGACATTTTTTTTCAGATTTCCGAATATGTTTTGACTACACGATCATTTTTTCAAAATCATGAACATGATTTTATTTCCCGACCATTTTTCCAAATTGTGATTCTTTTATAATATTGCAAACAATTTTGCAAAACCACCAACATTTTTTAAATCTGCAATTTTTTTATGATTTTCTAAACATTTTTGAATTCACATATATTGTATGATTTCTCAAACATTTTGTTTGAAAACTCGTAACTTTAGAATATTAGATCCCGAATTAATTTAAAGAAGAAAGAAAACATAAAAGACAAAAAAGTAAAATGAGAAGAAACAGGGGAGTAAAGCCCCGCATATGGGCCGGCCCATGAATGCATTGAATCGATGATATTTTTTAAAAAAATTGGGGTACAAATTGTTAAAATAATTTTTTTTGTGAATATTTTCTAAAATGTCATGGACATTTTTTTTCAGATTTCCGAATATGTTTTGACTACACGATCATTTTTTCAAAATCATGAACATGATTTTATTTCCCGACCATTTTTCCAAATTGTGATTCTTTTATAATATTGCAAACAATTTGCAAAACCACCAACATTTTTTAAATCTGCAATTTTTTTATGATTTTCTAAACATTTTTGAATTCACATATATTGTATGATTTCTCAAACATTTTGTTTGAAAACTCGTAACTTTAGAATATTAGATCCCGAATTAATTTAAAGAAGAAAGAAAACATAAAAGACAAAAAAGTAAAATGAGAAGAAACAGGGGAGTAAAGCCCCGCATATGGGCCGGCCCATGAATGCATAGATGGGTCATGCGTGAGAAAAGAACGATAAAATTGTAGAAGCTGGGGATCGCCGGCCCATGAATGCATAGATGGGTCATGCGTGAGAAAAGAACGATAAAATCGTAGAAGCTGGGGATCGAACCCCAGTCTCATCGCTAGAGGAGCGATCGGACAACCACCCTGCTACTCATCACTCACTGAATTCTATTCGACTCGCTCATATAAAATAGTGTAGGAGGCGGCGATTTTTGGTCGAAAAAACGAATCGTTTTTCACTTACGGGTGGCATTGGTGGTAATTTTTATTAACTTGAAGGGTAATTTTAATGACGGACGACCAGAAGCGATAGCCGCTTTATTAGTAGGTAAAGATAAAGATTTTGGCATGTATTGAATTTTTGAATTGTCTTTTATTTTATATGAACAAATTGTTTAATTGATAATGACTTTGTTCTATATAATAAACGTGCGTAGATTTGCATCAATACGAGGGTTGACATACGAAAAGCATGGTTATCGGAGAGGACAAATGAGGAGATGACGGGCATGTCCAGTCACGTCCACGGATGTTTAGGGTGCTGGATTTGCTTGCAGATTGTTAAAAAAAAGAATTTGCCTCACTAACTTGAAAATAGAAAAGTAATTAAAAAAAACCTTATCACAATTTTCTTAATGCACCCCCAGATTCCCCATCACCAACACCTATCCATTCCCACGAAGCTGCAAACCCCACAGAAACCATCTGCCAGACAACGACGAGAGTAGTACACCTCCGCCCCTGGAACGCGTGCAGCATCGTTTGGTCATTTCAGGCCACCTAAACCCCCACCCAACCGCGCCAGCAGAGGGGAAAAGACGCCCGCTTTTCGGGAGCGCCCAACGCGCATCAACCGTCCCTGCTGACTCCGGCAGTCGCGCGCATACGTCTCCACACGACTCGAGGCATCCGTGCAGGCAGGAGGGCAGCGACGAGGGCGAGACGTAACGCTTGTTTGCTTAACTACCATATCTAGCACTGTCCACCACGGGAAAATATCTAGTGCTACCAAGCCTTAAGTGCGTCAAACCAACAAAACAAACCCTCTACCACTGAGCTTCCATATCAAGCACCCCCACTGCACACACGAATCCCACAAGCCACAGTCGATCGGTCCAGCCGTGTGTTCTTCTCCCATCCATGGTCTCGCTCCCATGGAGATCCTGAGCTAGGAGAAGGTGACATACGGTCCAGATAGTCATCGACCGCGCCACCTAACGGCGCCTCGCTGCCTGCCTATACCCTGCTCTTGTGGTGTCTGCTCAGTTCGTACGTGCGTGCTGTCGTTGCGAGTGGCAAGCTGACCCGAGGCTTGATCTGCATGGGGAGAATGGCTTCGGCGGCGGCGGTGGCGGTGGCCATCGTGGCGGTGCTGTGCGCGGCGGGGGTGGTGAGGGTGAGAGGGGAGGACACCGTGGACGAGGACACGCCAGGAGCGTCCTTCATCTTCGGCGACTCGCTGGTCGACGCCGGGAACAACAACTACCTCTCCACGCTCTCCAAGGCCGACATGAACCCCAACGGCATCGACTTCGCCGCCTCCGGCGGGACGCCCACCGGCCGCTTCACCAACGGCCGGACCATCGCCGACATCATAGGTAATTTCAGTCCCTGTAACACGAAACATTTTCAACTACTGAATACATTATCCTTGTACGTACGATGAGCTTAGAGTTGCCATCACACTGTTTTTTCTAAGAAGCAACACGAGTTGCCATCACTCTGTCACTTAAACAGATGTAAACTCCATTTTTCAGGGGAGATGCTGGGCCAGGCGGACTACTCGCCGCCGTTCCTGGCGCCGAACACGACGGGCGGCGCGCTGCTGAACGGCGTGAACTACGCGTCCGGCGGGGCGGGGATCCTGAACGGGACGGGGCGGGTGTTCGTGAACCGGATCGGCATGGACGTGCAGGTGGACTACTTCAACATCACGCGGCGGGAGCTGGACGGGCTGCTGGGCAAGGAGAAGGCGCGAGAGTTCATCCACAAGAAGGCCATCTTCTCCATCACCGTCGGCTCCAACGACTTCCTCAACAACTACCTGATGCCGGTGCTGTCCGCCGGCACGCGCGTGGCCGAGTCGCCCGACGGCTTCATCGACGACCTCATCATCCACCTCCGGGAGCAGCTCACGCGGCTGCACGCGCTGGGCGCGCGCAAGTTCGTGGTGGCCAACGTGGGGCCGCTGGGGTGCATCCCGTACCAGAAGACGCTGAACCGGGTCAAGGACGACGAGTGCGTGAAGCTGCCCAACACGCTCGCCGCGCAGTACAACGGGCGGCTCCGCGACCTCCTCATCGAGCTCAACGGCAACGGCGGCGGCGGCCTGCCGGGGGGCAGGTTCTTGCTGGCCAACGTGTACGACCTGGTGATGGAGCTCATCGCCAACCACAGGAAGTACGGCTTCTCGACGGCCAGCGTGGCCTGCTGCGGCAACGGCGGCAGGTACGCCGGGATCGTGCCGTGCGGGCCGACGTCCAGCATGTGCGACGACCGGGAGAACCACGTGTTCTGGGACCCGTATCATCCCAGCGAGAAGGCCAACGTGCTGCTCGCCAAGTACATCGTCGACGGCGACAGCAAGTACATCTCCCCCATGAACCTCAGGAAGCTCTTCAAGCTCTAGCCGGAGAGGGACTGGCTCGATCGATCTGGTGGCTTCGTTCCGTCGGTGACATTTTGCGTTTTGGTTCGCGAAGTTTGGCATGTTTGATGTATGAACTCTAGCTATGGGCGATCGCGCGTATGTACGACTGGTTTGAAGTCGATTTTTTTAAAAAACAATACAAATGCAGAGGCTCACATGCACGTCACCATACGAAACACACACGCACACGATGCAAAATGCGTTCCTGTCTTCGTCAATTGTACACGTGCGCTTTCGAGGGCAATTGGATCGCACACGTGAACGATAAGCGGATCCGAATCGATGACATCCACCACAGGCTAAACCATCGCCTATCAGGCCTTCCCAACGATTTTTACCATGAGGCCAACGATAGACAATAACTTCTTCCAAACACAGCTTACAACTTTCATCGTATCGTGTTCTTTAAAGAGCAATTTTTCTCAAAATCTTAAAACGATATGCCCCTTAAAATGAAAATTTACGTACCGCAAAGCCTCGGACGGAACAAATCCCGTAAACGTCTACCATAGGAGTTTTTTTTTCTTTGCACGTTTTTTTTTCAGGACACACGCATGGACGAACTCAAACTCCGGCCGACCCAAAATGACGCCGCTCCGGCGACGCTCTGGCAATGCTCCAACCCGCCCCGTGCTCTAGTGATGCTCCAGGTAACCGCTGCCAAGCTCCTCCGCCTGCTCGCTGCTCGCGCGCGGCGTAGCCATGCCCCCCTACTATGGCATTGACTGGTTTACAAGTTCCCTCAGAAAACGCCTCGCTATATAACGGATGGTTGCTCTAATGTACGAGAACCTATATTTTTTTTACGGGATCTACTATTTTACAGGATCTTTTGGTATGTTTCTATAATTTGTACAGTAAATTAAAAAATTTGACTGCTTTTATAAGATCTGCTAGAGATGCTAGTACCCAAAAATGAGGGTAGGAGAAAAAGTTTTTAGGTAACTACTCCCTCCGTTCCTAAATATTTGTCTTTCTAGATATTCAAACAAGTGACTACATACGAAGCAAAATGAGTGAATTTAAACTCTAAAATATGTCTATATACATCCGTACGTGGTAACCATTTGAAATATTTAAAAAGACAAATATTTAGAAACGGAGGGAGTAGAAGAGTTCCTGCCATAACAGATGCTCAAAATGTCTAAACGACCGTTTTTGGCATGGCGGCATCATCTGCTAGAGATGCTCTGCGTGAGCTATACCTGGCCATTCCTCGAGCCAGGCCTAACCAAGCCCGACAAAAAAAACCCAGGCCCAGGTGTCGGGTCTAGAAATTAGGCCCAAGCCCGACCCATCAGTGTAAAAGCCCATCAGGCCTTGGGTCGGGCCTCTTTGTTAAATCGCAAATATGGCGGGCCCGGGCCCCGCCTGGCCTTTGGACTCAAAATCCAAGCCCATGCCCGGCCCATGAGCACCATCGGGTCAGGTCGGGTCGGGCCGTCTGGGCCGGGCTGCCCATGGGCAGGTATAGCGTGAGCGCATGCCAAACTACACTCTTCGTAAGTGTGCAGTGGACTTCTCTCCACCTTTCGATCAGCTTTCTACGGCTCAGATCGAGGTGGCAAACAGTGGCGCAGAGAGGTTGGATATGTTCTGCTCGGAGCTTTTGGGCCCGAAGCCCAGACGAATTAACCAGACTCACAAACAGCCCAGCTCAGGCCGCCTCCCTCTCCTCCCAGCACACACCTCCCTCTCCTCCGGCCGCCGCACGGAGAAGGACGAGCCATGCAGGCAGCCGCAGCGCGCGCGCGCCGCCTCCTCGCGTCACCGGCGGCCTCCGGGATCCAGGGAATCCTCTCCGCCTCTCACCGCGGGTGCGCGGCGGCCGCCGAGCTCGGTCTCCTGCCCCATCTCGAGAATGGCTTCCCCGCCTCGCGCTCCTCTCCGGATCACACCAGGAGCTTCTCCTCCCACCTGCCCCGTGAGTTCTCTGACCTCAAAACATCCCTATTCTTATGGTAACCACACTGATAGCGGCTGCTTCCGAGTTATTTGGTGCGGCATTTCGTCGAACGGGTGGTGGGCAGGCAGGGTCGTGCGCTAGCTGTACGATCTCGAGCTCGTGGTCTCGAGGGTTTCATTTTGTTAGTCCCGCTCATATTCTAGGAGTAGGCGGCGAAGCGTGGGGATAAGGGGACCCGAATAGCTCATGAAGGTTTAAGGGTTTAGGGCGATGGAAAATTGGAAATGTTCGCAAGTGCGCGCCGTGCTCTGGAAGGCTTTATGTGGTAGCTTTTGACACGAGACTGTGGTTTTCAGACTCATTCGCGGCCAATTAGCTGGGACTTAGGGATGTGATTGTTTGTGTATGGCTTAGAGATATGTATCCTGGATGGCAACTTTTTTGGTGAGGCATTGGATGATGTGCTGGATTATTAGTTGAGAGTGGCTATGCAGTTGCTTTGTGGTGCATTGCCTTGCTTGATTTACTTCAGGATGTAGTAATATACCATCATAGAACATACTCCATATTACTAAGTCTCCACGTGTGTGGCCGTTTAGTACCATGCTCTGCACATGGCCGTTTAGTTTACGTAGAAGCCACATGACTACTGATATTAGGGGGCCATGGTTATTCTTTTTATTGCTCTGTTGCTTCTGATCCTTTGTTGCTCTGATAGATGTAGTATTGCATTTTCTCTGAGAAAAATAATTAGGTAGTGCAAACTACTCACAAAGCAGCTGAGCTAACTACATTTATTTGGATGATTTAGGCACTTTGCTATCGCAAACCGTAACTTCTCATTGCCGGTGTAACAAATCAGTGTGCTATCACATGGCAAGAGCTCATTTGTCGACAGACTCAAGCGGAATCGACCAACCTAAAGGTTACTTTTGAGTACTATGCTCTGCCCTGGTCCTGTCATTGTCTTCTGTTCCTGCTCTTCCGTTAATCATTACTGCCATTTGCTACATTCAACTTACTACTGTATGTTTTACTATGTATCATTATTAAGTTAGCAATCTAAGAATTTCTCTTACAGGTATTGGCCTGCCATCTATTATGTGGACTCATCAGGGTTTTCGTCCTGGCTCTTATTGCTCGAATGAATTCTGTGATCTTATATTCAATTTACACAAGTTGACCTTTCCTTTCGGCCCTTAGAAGTTCATTAACATATACAATGTTTGCAGATAAATTCAACCATTTTCAGAAAGCAAAACAAATAGTTCACTGAATTACGTTTTGTAGCAAATTTACGTTGGCTCTCTTCTGATACGAGTGAATTGATTTTGTATGCTTTTATATATTTATCTACCACAATCAGTTTATGTTTAAGTTGTCTCACTTCATATTGTTACAATAATGTAGTCTGACACATGTTTCTATCTGATTGTATTTACTAATTGCAAATTTCCTAATGTTCATCAGCCTTCCCTTTTGGTATGTTTTTTTAATTTAGTGTTTGCATTTGCTTATGCATGATTTGCTGCAGAATCTGCAGAGGAGCTGTACCAGAAAATGCTGAAGTCTGTTGAAGCCCAGACTATGCCGCCAAATGCCTGGTTGTGGTCAATGATCAGTAGTTGCTCCAGTGAGGAGGATATAAAACTTCTCTTTCAGATTTTGCAGAAGCTAAGAATATTCGTAAGTCACATCTATTTTCCTCTTAAGCTAAGAATGCTTCCTTTTGCCAGTTTAGAGGCTGCATGCCTGCATCACGTAGTGTTATTATCTTAACAGATTCTCATTTGTGGTATCACCAATTTGCCACCACCTGGTGACAGTTACGCGAAACATCTACTCTTGATTTCTAGGATCTTTTTTTGTTTCTATGAAACATAGCCACCCACTTACCCGAGTTTAACATAGAATTTCCATTGTATGTTGAACATATTGACAATTTTCTACGCATGACTTCAAATATACATATGGGTTATGGTGCTATGTTCTCGGATCATGATGTCAATTGATTGTCCAGACTCTTGGATTGCTAGCACATGAAGTATCTAAATATAGTTAGCAGCTTCTCATGTCAGTCTTTTCTTCCCCCTTATAGTTAATAGTTTTCTTCCAGACGGTACACGGGCAAAGGGTGTTCTTTGTACTTCTAGTTATATTTTTGTGACTAGATGCTGTCTGAAACCAACACTTTTTCTATCGATGCAGAGGCTATCAAATCTTCGCATCAATGCAAACTTCAACGACCATCTCTGTATGAAAGTTTCTGAGGCTTGTGCTCGTGTGGGTGTCCTTGACTATGGTATGATTCTATTTAGCAATCTGAAAAATCTGTGTTTATTTGTTAACGTGTGTTTCTTTCCAGCCTTTTGTTGGCACATAAATCATTGTTTGGATATATTTCTAGTATTTAGCTCTAGATTGCCTTGTAGGCCTTATGCCTTGCGTACTAAATCCTAATGAAAATGATTAAAGAAGGATGCTTTATAGATACTCAAACAAGAAAGAACATGTGGCTAAATTTGTTAACCTTATTTTCTATGAAGCATTTGATAAGTGGAAATGGCAATGTGTGGTGTCATATATCAGTTATGTAAATGCTGACTTTCATATAACAATGTCACTTTTTTGTGCTACTTTTTGTGTCAATGCCACATTGTTATGGCTAATGGAACACAAAACCTGTAATTCATCTTTGTGCCATGAATGCAGGGTTGAAGGTTTTATGGAATCATAATGTTTATGGAATAACGCCAACCATTGGTTCTGCCCATTATCTACTGGTATCCATTGTTACTAACTCCTTTGATCACTTCCCAAGTTGCTTTGTAATGATTTTTTCCTTCTACAGCAACATGCTAAAGAGCACAATGATACTAAACTAATGGAGAAGATAATGCAAGTCCTTAGGAGGAATTCCTTGCCATTACAACCAGGCACTGCTGATATTGTCTTCAGGTATGCTTTCGTTTGTTCTCAGTTACTATTTACCAATGTATACAATTCTTCTCTTTCAGTGTTTAAAACTTCTCATATCGTAGCATGCGAAGTCCTACCCTTTTAGATTAAAGTG